AAGAAATACTTACCTACGGACCCAAACCACCAACCAAATCTAAACGCCTCTTTTCGACTAAGCCAACCGTAGGTTACGCAAGGTTTTGGATTGTGGAGCTACTGACTCGCCGTATCGCCCGATTTAATATTTATCGAGATATGGATTTTTAAATTTTAGATATTAAAAAGTTGTTTACAAAAATCATATGATATTAACCAATCAAATTAATCAATTGGTGAAAATTCGAGCCAACCGAAGAAGAATTTACAACATATAGAAGTATAATTTTTTTAAAAAATATTTTATCAACTAAAAATTTACTATAATAAAAAGAGAAATTTGTTCTTTATATTATAAAATTTTTTTATTAGTAGCATATTTTCATTTTCTATATAAATCTTATTGTACCACTAAAATCATCTATTTTATATCCTTGATCAGCCCAATTGATGATCACTATTTTAAATTTTTTATTTATATAGGAGGTTTAGAGTAAGGAATCTAAACCCTGGTCTATTTTAAGGACGCTTTAAAATAAAAATAAAAATAAAATAAAATATCGTGATATATAGTATGTGAGAATAACCTTTATTATATAATCTGACAGTAAAATAAAAAAATATATGGTTATATATTATACTACACGGAGATTTCTTTCCATACATTATTATCATATACACATTCAAATGTATTACATATATATTTGTTCTTGTCAAATCTTCATATGCAGAATTTTCAAATATTTTGTATGTGTATAAACAAAGAAGCCAAATATTATTATGATTACTAATAATCAACGTTACTGCTATATTACCTAACAATACTAAAGAAAATTCTAAAATGATTATCACTATCATAATAATTAACATTGTAATAGAACTATAGTACGTACATACAATATCAGTTTTACAATTCTATCACATATCGTAAATGTCTACAAGGTTGGTGACGAAGACTAAATTCTTAAAATTCGTTAAGAGGGGGATGGTTCATATAGTAAAAATTGTTCAACGAAAACTTGTTTTTTGATCTTCCTGATCGTGTTACGTTACATCTAATCTTGAAATCTGATTCGTAATTCAATTCTATCAATAGATGACGCATTTAGGAATATAACTAATAAACCAATAAGTACTCTCAATTGCGCCAAGCATGTTTATAATAATTTACAAAAATGTTAAACAAAAAAATGTCAAAATATGTTACATTACGAGTAGAGGTGCTAGTGAAATTAAAGAATTAAATTAGTTTCACTGTTATTGGTGAAGTGAATTGGTGAAAATGGTGAATTTAATTTAGTTAATTTCACCTGCATATCTAATTATGTGCCAAAGAAAAAAAAAGAAAAGAAAAAATATGCAGAAAAAAAAACAAGGAAAAAAAGAAGTATAAACAAGAAAAAAAAAAGTTCACGAGATTTCTAAATATATATATGAAGGAAATTAAAGAGAAACAACATCTATTCACGTGACTATATGATGGATTGTTTGAAATTGTATCTGACTCAAAGTCTTATTGACTGAAAAATTGAATTTGTAAACCGTTTTCTTCATTGGTCATAAATGAAAAACAATTATCATATACATAGCAACTGTTATCAGTTGAAAAGTAATTTTGGTTATTTTGAGTATTTAAAAAATCCAGGTCTGAATCCCAAAGAATTGGCCAATGAAAATCTTGTGCCCCTTCTGGACTCTCTGAAAAGAAATCAAAAAGGCCCAATTCTATCAATCCTGGTTGTGATTCAAATGATGTTGACAATGATGTTGATAATGGTGTCGACAATGATGTTGACAATGATGAAGGTAGTGATGTTGAAAATTCTGAAGATAATCCTGAAGAGAATTGTTCTAAGGAAGGCAATTCCTCTAAAGGAGGGCTCAGAAATGCAGATAAATCTAAAGAATTTGTGGGGCTGGAACTGAATGATGAAACCTCAGACTCAGACGACAGTAGGGAATTCTCTAAATACGAATCTTTATCTGAAGCAAAATCACTGGTGCCAAGAAAGTTAGTTGTGCTAAAAGCCGATGTAAATGCAAGATCTTCAATTTTAGGTTTGGGTAAGTATTGCTTAAAATTGTTGTTCCGTTTCTTCGGAGAAAATTTGTAATTTGGATAGCGTTCATTGTGAACACATTGACTTTGGAGAGATAAACTCTATTACATTAAGATAAGAAATTACAAAATAATATAAGTTGCTTGGCATAATCAAATAGACTATGAAATATATATGATATATATATAGATTTAAAAGAAATTTTACCTCATAGGTTTTTTTCGCATGTTGTGGAAGTGTCGCCCAAATTTTCTTAGAATGGCGGCAAATCTCTGGCATGGTAAACCTATACCCAAGTTTCCTCAATTCTAACATATAACAGTTCTTCATGAGGAAGAACCCATTAGGAGGTCTTGGTACATGTGTACTTTCGAGACTTCGTTTCTTTGTTGAAATAAGCTCAGTGATATGGTATTTTGGGTTGTAAATATTATTCAAATCTAACTCTTTAGGAATTTCTCGCATTGGTCGAGCATTTCTAGTAGAAGATGACTTGTTTCCGCTCATTTTACCTTTGATAAATCCTCGCGTTTTTAAAGTTAATGCTTAAAGGGCTAATGTATTGATAAAGAACACAGAATTTAATTATGCTAATTTTCTGACAGAATGAGTTCAATGTGTTTATATATATATATATTTTTTTACCTTTAAATTATAATAAATTGTATAACATACTTATATGCGCATGGGCATAGAGGTTCAGTCACACGAGCATATAGTACTCACATAAACAATTAAAGTAAATAGAATTCTGTAAGATTATGTTTTTAGCAAGTAAGCCACATAGATCTAGTAGAAACAGCTTATCAACAAATAGACATGAAGGATCAATTCCTTTTGCTAAAAATAGAACCAACTACTCCATCGAAAGGGTCCGGACGTAAACCTTTTCCTTCATCATTTGTCTAAAAATAGATCTTTAAAATATTAAATCACCCGGTCTTTATACTAATACGATTTGATAGCTTTAAGCGATAAGAGTCACGTGATGATGGAATTAAAGCGAATTATAAGATTGTCGGGAAAATTACATGTGACCACCAAAAATGTCCAAAATGTACAACGCAAATGTTTTGAAGATCATCCATTATCTAATAACTATATGGAGTTTATATTCCATTATTTACTTATAATGTATGGAAATAGAACTCTACAAAGAAATCCAAGACGGAAACAGCTCACGATATGTGTCCGACTTTGTAAAAGTTACAAAGAACGTTTAAGGCTACTCGATAAATGCGGATCTAGAATAATAAGTCTCGATCTTCACGTGATATTGTTTATTACATAATTGCTATTCAATGATAAGAAGAATATTCCTAAAGAATTCTTTTTATTTATAGAATGTTTTTTTTCAAATCATTTCTTTATTTGTCAACTCTAACGAAAATAACCCTTTATAAGTATTTAATTTCGAGAATCTGACCATCTTGTTACGCGTACAATTAAAAAAAAATCATGTCTTCCAAATTTTAAATATAATCCCTGAATGATGCCCATTGTGTTTATCTTCTCATTGTTAAAATTAATTGTTTTTTGTTATGAACTTTCTATGGAGAAGTGAACCTTTTCTTTTCAGAAGCTTATTTGCTTGTTTATTTACTTATAATCGAGAATAATACCAGATTTTCTAACTAATGCATTAGCAAGACACTCGCAAGCTATTATCATGAAGTTCGACTAAAAAGGGTGCATTTCTTTGTTGACTAAAAATATATTGCAGTATCTAAACTCGAAATCGATAAATTCAAGAGGCGATTCATATATGATGTACAAACATCTTCTTAAAAAATCAAAAATCGAAATCTTTAATAGAAAAAAAATTTCAAAGCAAACTCTAAATTTTCATTACGTTATACCACTGATATTATTAATTTCTTAAAAGTGAATTTCTGTAGAAAATTCCATAAAAAGAAAAAATTTGTTTGTGAACATATTTATTATAAATGACCAACACTTTTATTAAGCATATAATAATAATAAATTTATGCATTTAGGGAAGGTGCTATCAGAAAAATTTTTAACATTCAAACGTTCTCTATTCAGTAATTCATTATTTTACAAACGACAGATAATGTAATTCTAAGGACCAAAACTCTTTGTTATATGTTAATTGTATAATTTTTGTATACCCAGAATTTTTGTATTAGGTAATTTTATTTGTTTCAAAAATTAATTGTGATCATAATAATTAAGCTTATGTATATAATATATTTAATATGTAAGAGGATTAATTTAAAATTATCGTTCATTGCCATCCTGCATCATCCTTACGACATATATGTTTAAAAAAAAACGCCTAATAACACTAGTAGTATGCATAATTGGCTAATTTCTTGTATTACAAGGTTTTTGCCTAGGCTAAAATATTGTGTACACTTAAAAGGTAATTAAAAAATACCGGTAATTTAGATATATATATCATTGTACTACTAAAATAGCATTTTAGATAATACAATGGTTTCATGCGTTTTTAATTTGGACTTAATGCATGAAACACTTTCGGCAAATTCTGAAATTGTCAAAAAGTGTTAATCAAAAGGTTTCCCATAAAATAATCCGCATATACATCACGTGAACATGATAATTGTATTTGATGGAAAGTTCGTCTGTTTCAATTTTTTTACGCAATCTATGCAGAATGTGCAAGCCTGCACAATCCTAAAGTGGTGTTAAAATGAAAAGGAGGATAAAAAAAATAAAAAAATAACCCGAATAAATTACATTCAAACTTTTGATAAATGATTATGCATAAGATTTCTGCGACTTCTGCGCATAATTACGCGCAGGAACCCTATATTATATTTCACAATAAAACTCAATTTACAAGACTGTTGTTATAATCGTAGCTTCTTATGCTAAAATTGATCGTTGCTGAACTTTTGGGTCCCGGATCAAATATAATATAAGGGACACCTACTCTATATCAGTTGATTAATAATCAATTTTTATCAATGGCATATTTTATACTATATTTGATCTTTGGGTTCCTAAATAAATCCATAATATAGTGATTGGACCCGTTAAAGCAATATTCATCCGGGTATTATTATTAAAATACCTAGATTACCCGGGTTACCCGGGTTATCCGGGTATATGATTATGAGTGAGGTCTAGGCGATAATAACGATTGGCTAAGTTTTGTTTACTA